TGCAGCAGTGGAGGACTATTATTCTGCTGCGTGATACTGCAGAAGAACTGATGATGGCACGGTTTGATCTTCGGCTGACCAATCAGCAGAAAGGGGCATTTAATTCCTGCCCACATGTAGAAATCGAATATTCAAGCTGTTTATTCATTTTTCCACCCATGAATGAAAAACGAAAATTTAAGCTGAATTTTCGTTTTTTTGGAAAAAACAAAAAAAAACGAAAAAGGAGCCGTTTTCTAATTTTTCTACTTTCAATATTAAATCAAAAAACGAATGATCGAATGATACACGGATTAATCAGCACTGAACTGACTTGAGCTGAATATTGACAATATTCTCTTTTTAGAGCTGCTTTACAGCAGAATTTGAATTTATCTCATATTTGAAGACGTTTACATCAATGCTTCCGTTATTTCTCTGTTTATTACTTTGAAGCTGCTTTGAACAGTATGCATTGTATAAAGCACTACAGAAATAAAGGTAACAAAATTGGATCCCATTGGATGTGCAAAGAAAGGCATGTTTTTCAAAATATCTTCTTAAACAGGTTTGGAACAGCATGAGGGTGACTAAATCAAGCGTAGCGTTAGTTCTGGCAGGTCACGTTAGTCAAGCTCGCATCAGCTGACTCTCAGCTGATCCCCATCTACCTATAGGAATACGACACCTATCTAAGCGTTCATATATAAGGTCCCTCAGTATTATCAGCAGTTTTCGCATTGCTCAATGGCTAATTACCCTCCTCCATCCCCAGCTCCTCCTCTGTCAGTCGGGATTCAGCCTTCTGATTCTCCTTTGAATCAGACTAATTCTAAAATGTGTACATAAAATTATTGAACTTTAACAATATCTGCAATACATTTATGTTGATTCTGTTCTGTTTATTGCTGTTATTGCTGCTCTCCCTGCTCTCATTCATGCTGAAGATCATGCCCAGAACAGAACCATACCGCCAATCCAAACTGTATGCTAATTGTCAATCATCTTTGACGATAGTGGTCTTGACAGAAATTATGTCAGAAATGTCTCTTTAAGCCAATAAAACATTAAATATAAAAACGGAATATAAAGAAGCAGTGCAGCTTCCTGCATCTGTTTTATGGAAAAATAATGTCAAAATTGTGGAAAGTGATGAAGGGGAACGGAAAACTGACTTTGCCTCCAGAGCGAGAGCGATGACACCAGCCACCATGGGTGCAGATACAGAGGTGCCTGTGTGTCCATCAGTACATCTCTGCCGCAGGTCTGTGGTCACCTGGTACCAGAAACACATAAATACAGAGCATTAAGGAGTTAACAACTTCAGTTTAGATGCAGCAACGTGGACATGGATTTTCAAATTTTGTCCTTTAAATCTTATTAACAGGTACAGCAGGTCTTCTAGATTAGCATGTCTTCTGTTTAGGCAAAAGGTCAAGTCCTCCTTAATAAAATGAAAATTTGCTGAAAATGTTCTCTCCCTCAGGCCATCCAAGATATAGATGAGTTTGCTTCTTCATGGGAACACATTTGGAGAAATGTAGCATTACATCACTTGATGCTTTGCAGTGAATGGGTGCCGTCAGAATGAGAGTCGAAACAGCTGATAAAAACGTCACAATAATCCACAAGTAATCCACGCCACTCCAGTCCATCAGTTAACATCTTGTGAAGTGAAAAGCTGTGTGTTTGAAAGAAACTAATCCATCATTAAGACGCTTTTATCTTCAAACCGCCACTTCTGGCCAAAATGTGAGTCCATAATCCATAATAGTCAAGTCAAGTCACCTTTATTTATATAGCGCTTTTAACAATACAGATTGTGTCAAAGCAGCTTTACAGTATTAAATAGGAAAATAGTGTGTCAATAATGCAAAAGGACAATAGTAAACACACAAATAACACTTCCTCCAGTGAAAAAGTCCACCTCCTGTTGTCCTTTCACATCAAAATCCACCCACATATTTGTTTTGAACTGTTTTTGCTTGTAAACAGTGCTTGATCTGTGCATATTTCTCTCCTGATTCAGGCGAGACGACTTTCACTGGAGAAAGCAATATTATGGATAAAGGACTCGTATTTTAGCTAGAAGCAATGGGTTTAAGTTTAAAACATCTTAATGATGGATTTGTTTCTTATAAACATGCAGCTTTTCACTTCACAAGATGTTAACTGATGGACTGGAGTGGTGTGGATTACTTGTGGATTATTGTAATGTTTTTATCAGCTGTTTGGACTCTCATTCTGACGGCACCCATTCACTGCAGAGCATCCATTGGTGAGCAAGTGATGTAATGCTACATTTCTTCAAAATCTGTTCAGATGAAGAAACAAACTCATCTACATCTACATGTCCTAAGCGTGAGTAAATATTCAGTAAATTATAATTTCAGGGTGAACTATTCCTTTAAAACTTTCAGCTATCGTCTGAAAGAATGCGCTTCCGTGACTGTGACGGGACGAGCGGTTTTCTGCAAAGTGCTCTGTAAATATTTCGGCGTTCTGGTTTTCTGTGAAACAGCGGGTCACCCACAGAGCTGCTCTGGTAGCCGCAGGCAGAGAGAGCGAGCGCTCGAGTGTGTCTTCAGTCAAACATGAGCTTGATTACACTGGTGTTTCTCAAAAGGACAAACATGAATGGGGTCAGTGCCACCGACGAGGTCCCAAGGAAGATGCTGAGATTGGAGACACATGCTCTTGTGTGATATGGGTGCGTGTCAAGGGTTTATGTCCGTGTTTAAAAACAGCGGTTAGGAAATAAACAAGACAATACTAGACTTTTACATTTTCTGAAGACAAAATGGGGGTCTGATGGCCAAACAAATATTATATTACTAACTTATTAATTTTAAGTTAAATTGTGCTTTGTTGGTATAATAATGTCTGCTAGAATGTTAAAAAATGTTCAGTGTTAAATACTTTTAAATTGTTGTTTTGTAACAGATTTTTTCTTTGAAAAGCAAGACAAAACAGTAAAAAGCACATTTTGGCTATTTAATTTGTGCAGTGGTGAAAAAAATTGGCAAAATACATGGAAAAAAAAAAAAACTCGAAAAACCTTGTTCGGTATTCGGCCTTCGGCGCAGTGTTTCATTTTGTTCGGTTTCGGCTTCGGCCAAGAGTTTTCATTTTGGTGCATCCCTACATAACATACAGCCTGCAGCATGATTTAAAATATCACTCAAGGCAGTTTGGGATGATTTCCACACTGAAGTTTTTCTAAAGTAAACTTTTAGCATGAGTAATAGTAATAGTAATGCTCCACAAATAAAACTACAACATTCATGCTTTAAACCTTATATAAAAACATTTATTTTTACTATATCGTTTCTAACACTAAACAAAATGTATGTGAGAGAAAAGAAGAATCCTGTCATGCATGTGTAAATGAGCTCTTAAGCCCTCAACTACTAACCAAACACCAAAAGAAAAGCAAAAACCCACAGTAGTCATTCTTAAGGATAATGTCATAATCTGCGCTGCTGGAAGAGAAAGCGAATTCACAAAAAAAACCTAGATTCTCTTTATCCTCTTGATAACACCCTGCGGTTTTCCCTGCGTATGGGTGCCAGACCAAACATTTAGCCCCAGTCTTTTTTCCAACCGTCTCATTTCATCAATAGATATTTGTGGAAAGAGCCAAACAACAAGAGCTCAGCTGTATTAGCAGGCTGAGCACCAGGATCTGGGACAGAAGATGACTGAGTTTTGGCAGATTGCTAGTAACATGCATATACAACAACATTTCTGGTCAAAAGATGATAAATCTCTGCGTCAGTGTTGGGATTTCTCAACCCTTTTTACACCCATAAGGCAAAAAAACCCCACATTTGAATGCTTATAAATCTAACAGCACATCTATTTGGACAAATGGTCAGATGTTTAATACTTAAAAAAGGAGTGAAGGAGGAAAGAAAGGAGAATGTGTCAGAAATAATTGAGATGAATTGTAGGACACAATATGTGGCATCAAGAGAGCAAATGACCCAATAAAGCAGAGAACACACTTACGAGGCCGAAAGCAAGACGAGGACAAAAGGTTGAGTAGATGACAGATGGAGAAGACAAATGGAGTACACAGGGATACACGCTTATCTTGGAAAACAAGATTTTCTTGTGCTCTTTTGAAATTGAAAAGCTCAATCTGTTCCAGTGCATCTCAACCGGTTTTGCCTCAGGGCACAAGAAGCATCAGAATAGAGCAGCAAAATTGATTATTGTATAAAGTAAAGAAAATGTCCTAAATATTATTGAGTTGCAGTGTTTTACTGATTACCATGAGATGCACAGGCCCAACAATATGCAAAAAAATTAGGCTGAATAGGAAAACTGAGTAATTAAGTCTGTCACAGTCAACAATTAAGAAGAATTAAGACAATAAATTAATACATTTATTTAGGATGCTTTAAACTGATGAAAAATGACATTAAAGACTTTGTCAGTTAATAACTCAAATGAATGCTGTTCATTTCGAACTTTGAAAAAAAAAAATAATTTCAGCATTGATATTAATCAGAAATGTTCTTCAGCAGCAAATCAGCATATTAGAGTGATTTCTGAAGGATCATGTGACACTGAAGACTGGAGTAATGATGCTGGAAATTCACCAGGAATAAATAACATTTTTTAATGTATTCAAATACAAAATGGTCCTTTTGAATTGTAAAAATATTTAAGAATATTACTGTTTTTTTGCAAAAAAACATAAGATTAAATGCAGCCTTGGTCAGCAAAAGAGTCTTAACCTTAATTAAATATGGAAATACTCTATTAATTGTCGAATTAGTACCGCTCCAAAAAGCCTTGATTAACATTCTAAGTGGTTTTCAGGAACAAATGAGCTTTGCTGTGGTGGTCTAACAGATGTCTATGTGACTTAACTATTTTGCGGTCGTAGAACTCTCCGCTGCTGAACGTGGTGGCAAGGGTGGAGGAACAGACCTCCAGGTACCAGGGCTTGTTGCCGTTTTCCGTGCTGCTGCTGACGGAGATGGTGTAGATGCTGTTGGTGTAGCCATCGCAGGAGCAGTGATCGCCCTGCCGGCCCCCGTTACCAGACGCCCAAACAAAGATGGAGCCAAGACCCTTACGGCCCTGCAGAGACACATGATAACACGAGCGTTGATTTAGCATAATTTATTCACTATTAATATATATGCATTAATATTTTGAATGAGCTTTCATTTTAATGTTAAATAATTTTTTTTAGTAATTTTGTTAATGAGCTTTTGTCATTATTTTTGTTTTTAGATTTTATTAAGTTTGTTTTTAATATTTCTATTTAGCTTTTTATTTCAGTATTAGTAATTTTAGCACTTCCATTTATATCTAAATTTATTTATTAAATTTTTTTTTTTACTTTCGTTAACTTTTTTTAACGTTTTAAAACATTTAAAAGGGTGGTTGACTTTTTTTCTAGGCTTGATTGTGTTTATGGGGTGCAGTCTAACATGAGTTAATGCTTCATTTAAAAAAAACTCATTATTTTTCTGATGTTGATTTCTGAAGCTGATGATTTCCTGCTTTTATGAAGCACCTCCATCAGAAATACGCGATGGGCTCTGATTGGTTAGCTGGCCCAGTGTGTTGTGATTCGCTAGATTTGCTAGTGCACGTCTAAAGGTCACACCCTCAGCGGCATGTGCTCCAACTGTATTGTAAACAATGGCGTCGTCAATATTGCTTATCAATTTGAGCCTGAATGAGACAGAGGATATTAGTGAAGAGGATCACACAGAAGAACCTGTGCAAACACACGGCTCTTAATGGTATGTTTTTTGTTTGTTGTTGTCTCATACTTTTAGATATGCTGTTATTTGTAAATGCTACTGCTTATGTTAGCTTTCAATATACGGTTTTATCCTCATTAAAGCTTTAATACAGCACGGCAACCACATGCGCATCCATGTTTAACACTTCTCATAGCTATGTGAAAATAAGTGTATAAATGGAACAGTTAATTGTTTGAGCTGAGCTGATGATCTGAATGCGAGAGAGCAGAGCGTGTGCAGAGCAGGGGGACGCAAGGAACAGGATTGAGAACCACTGCTTTAGAACATTTTGAAACTTGTGAATCCATTAGAATCGTTAGTAGACAGAATCGCAATTCATATATGAATAGATTTTTACGTGCACCTCTAGTTTTCTCTTCTCTAAAGCAGCGCAGCATGGCCTCGCCCCCTTTGTTGCACGTTCCCGGGGGCAGGGTTTATCTGGGTTTGTTACATCACGAACCCGGGAAGTAACTCGTTGTAGTCCTTACGAGCCGTTTTTGTAGGCATTAAACTGCCATAATTTTAAAAGACGTTTGCATTGAACTTTCAGTGCTGCAACTTTGCAGATATTGTTCATGCTCAAACAGCAACATTACACACTAACGTTAAAAAAGTAAAATCGCAATCAACCATCCCTTTAATTTAATTTTTTTTTCAATTACTGAAAATAACAATGCAATAACAACACTGCCTCTAGCAGACGGATCACTTAAAAAAAAAAAAAAGACAAGATTAACTACTTAATATTCCTACAAAACATAAAACTATTATTTTAAAATTATGAGATTTACAAAATAAATCCTAAATATTTAACCCACTAGATTTTGGAAAAACAGACATTAGTACATGGTTAGACTGCACTTTAAATAATTTTATATTGAATTTCCTACAATAATAACAATATGATGATATTTTCACTGTTATAGTAATAACAAAAAATTACTCATAAGACTTATCATACTGCCCAGACCCTGACAAAACCATCATAACATACTAGTCCAGATCAGCTTTAGACAATATCTTCTCTTCAAATGTTGTGGTTTCAATTAAGTCTTAAATTTAACTACTGCTGTCAAATGATTAATCGCGATTAATCGCATCCAAAATAAAAGTTTTTGTTTACATAATATATGTATGTGTACTACTGTGTATATTTATTATGTATATATAAATACACACACATAGAGTATATATATATATTTTTATATTTACATGTATATACATTTATATATTTATATTCTCATATTTTATATTATACATAAATATATTTAATATATAAACAACACATTTTTCTTAATTATATACTGTACATGCATGTGTGTGTATTTATATATACATAATAAATATACACAGTAGTACACATACATATATTATGTAAACAAAAACTTTTATTTTGGATGCGATTAATCGTTTGACAGCACTAAATTGAACAAACCTGACAATGACAGTTACTCAATGCTAAATTCCCATTTGTGTGCAAGTTTGAGACAACAACCTTTTTAATTCCCAGTTCAAAGGCTTGTTTGGCCAGAGGCCCCGGCCCATCCACGGTCTTCCCGTCATCGTCGGGGCCCCAACTGGCACTGTAAATGTCGATGTAGTCTGGCCTTATTCCCAGAGATTTGGCCTCCACCACATCAGTCACATCTCCATCAAGCATTCGGACACCTTCGAGAAAAAGTTCATCCAAAAACGAACAAATACAGTCATTGTATAATCAAGCCAATGTCGTTCCAAACCTGTATTATTTTCTTTTCTCTGTGAAACTCAAATTGAGATGCTAGGAATAAGATCCAAGCTTGCATGCAACATAAACAGATGGTGATTTACACAGCCAAGATCCAAAATGCACCATGAAAGTGACATAAAAGTAGTGCACTGTAATCCAAGTGTCATTGAGCCATATTATAGTTTTGTATGAACTGAATTCCCAGACTGACCTCTTACAAAGATAAATGCTATTCAGGTTTTCAAAACATGCCATTTAGTGTCCAAAATGCAAGAACCAACAGTGTTTGGGCTTTAAACCTGGCGCGACTCATCTAAAAGTGCCGTTTTTTATAAATGCAATGGAGCAAACGGAGACTGACACACAAACCCACACAGAAACATATGCCATATGTTCACTAATGAACACAAAATTTGCAATTAAAGTCTATTGTACTCTGCAGCAATGAGATGTTTCCAAATGCCTTGACAATCTGCTCTTTCTCCTCCTTCCATTATTGAACTACAGCTTCATTTCCTTTACTAGCTCTTTATTCTCAAAGAAGAAAGCCTTTGTATTTTTTTTCATAACTTGAGAGAATAGGTGTTAAAAAAAAGTCTAGTATCTATGCAAGTCATTAAGCTGAAAATTTTATCCAAAGCCTCTACAGTAAATCTTTTACTTCTTACATTTGTAGGATTTACTTTGAAACAATTTTTACTCAGAAAATTCTAGTACATCTCACAAATGATTACAAAGAAATGATCTTGATCTATGATCTATGGCAGCTTGTTTCCACCATGAGATAACAATAAAAGAGGGTAACTGCAACTTTTTATCTCATAATTATAATTATAAATAATTCAGACTTTTTTGCTTGCAATTCTGAGTGTTTTTTTTCTTTCTCACAATTGTAATTGTGAGCTTATAACTAGCAATTTTGACAAATAAACTCAGAATTCTTAGAAGGAAAGTCTGAATTGTGAGATAAAGGGTAAAAAATTACCTTTTTATTTTTTGTGGTGAAAACAAAATGAAAAAAATAATTACTCAGAATACTCTAAGGAAAAAACACAGAATTGCAAGAAAGTCAGAATTTTAAATTATTTTGTGGCATAAATGAACTTCCATGAGTAACACAATAAATTAAACAAGATATTTGTAAGTAGAAAGACTGAAATATAGTATTTTCGTGGAAAACATACTCCAATGATCTTTGTTTACAACTTTGAAAAATAAATTTGTACGGTGTAGTTTTATGTGCTTTGCCCAACGGCACAATAGTAATAGTTTAAGTTCAAACCTACAACCTCTTAGCTACCAGCCAAGATCTTTTATGGACTTCTGAAATGAGCAGGCATAATGAATCAGCTTAATTCAGAGAGTCAATAAGTCTGCCATAATATAATAACAAACATGTGTGTGTTTGTTTTCCAGTGCGCTCAATGCGCTATAGTGTGAGAATGTGTGTGCGTGTTATTATTTCTAACACCATATGCGCAACACGCTGTACGTGACAGAGTTTTCCTTCCTTGAAACACCTCTGAGGAAACACAGGAGGCTCAAAACTTCTCTATCATTCCTCTCACTTCTAACAAGCTGCATTACACCTCAAATTGATTCCTCGACTTCTCAAACAGCACCGAGTAAACACTTTTCTGAACCGCAGAGCAGGAGAACTAATCATTTCTACATTTCTTATTACAGTTAAAGGACATGAAGTTCTACATAGCAGCCAAAGCGAGGCCGCTCAGATTAGAAATGTCATTAGAAGGCGATAAAGTCATTGGCTTGAATCTGACACGTATTAGCTTTGGCAGCGTTTCAGTGCCCAAAAACAAAAATTCTGATGCTTTTAAAAAAATCCATTTAACAACTTTTGTCCGTCATTAGCATCAGACCCATTTGATGAGAAATTGTGTAGGAGTAGCGAAAAAACAATGTGATCACTAGGTGGTGCATACAAGATTGTGACCAATTTAGTGAATTAACCAGCAAAAGCTATACTTTTTAAAACTGTTCAAAATACAGTACATTATAGGAGGAGAAGTACTGACTGCTAAATTATTGACTTTAACTGGTATCCAATGAAAAATAAATCAGGGACCTGTTACCACAACTTTAAAAAAATGCATGGTTGCAAGTAGGGATGCACGATATTATCGGACTGATATCGGAATCGACCGATAATGGCTTTAAATGTAAATATCGGCATCGGGCCGATATGAAAAATTATGTTGATATGTCTTGCTGATAAGAGGAATATATTAACTCACATGTGCTCAGGGTGTGCTAGCGATTAGATCACGTCAGCAGTGTGGCTCATTCTTGAAGCAAAATTTTGTCTGAATGATGATTAGATTGGCTGTTTTGATAGCTGCATTTAAACTCAGAATGCACGTACAGAATGATGCGTTCCGTGTGTGATAGAGTAAACAGTAATAGCACGTGCAGCGGCAGCAGCGGCAGCCTCCCCCGGGTCCTAACGCCCGCTCAGTAAGGAGTTTTAATTCCGTAGGAGGCGCTGTTGGCCTACTTCTAATAAAATGAAAGCAAAATACACAAATAATATTTAGATTGTTTCTGATTAGATAAAGCAGTAATTGATGCCATAAAATCATGTTTTGATTTAAAGGTCAGAAGCTATAGCTTACATGAACAAAAAAAAAAATCAGAAACATGACACTTAAATTAAATAATTTTATATATACCGATTTATTCATTAATGTGTAATATGTTATATTTTTTAAACAAACTATGAGCGCTAAAAGATTTTCAGGATTTTTACAACTCTTTTGCTTTAGACCATCTACTAATGTTAAATCTTAAAATAAAACGTTAAGGTTACTACTGCATCTTTCTGGGAAAAAAAAATATGCTGCGATTGATATATAGTTTATTTATAGTTATTCTCAAAGCTTCAATGTACTGTCATTATAAACTTCATTATTGTTTATTTAATTCTAACAAATAAGTT